GAGCAGGTACGGACTTCCATGGAGTTCAGAGGTTCTGCTGAGGTTCTGCTGAGGTCCAGAAGCCGGGGTTCTGACCTGGACTGGGTCGCCTCTCTGCAGGGTTCCAGTTCCAGCAGATGAACGGTGGAACAGGAGGCGGAGCTTTCTTCACAGGAGGCTTCACAGGGTTCAGCTCAGGGGGAGGAGCCCAGATGTCAGGCTCCGCCCCCCAGCAGCAGGGGGAGGCTCTGCAGCAGCAGCTGATCCGGATCGGTGAGTCTCTGCCAGAACAGAACCGGGCCTGCCGCCGCTCCAGTTCCGGTTCTGACCCGCTCCCTGTCTTCCAGCCGCCAGCCTCAGTAACCGGGTCTCCCAGAGCGCCCGGCAGACGGCCGCCGCCCTGCTGCAGTACTGCAGCACCGGGGACCCCCGCGTCCTGCTGGCCCTGCAGAGACACCTGTGCGGCGTCCAGGACAACAACGGAGACACGTGAGTCCCCCCCACCCGCCCGCGCTGCGCTGGTTCTGCAGCGCGGTGGACTGGTTTAACTGGTCTGTGTCCATCAGGCCGCTGCACCTGGCCATCATCCACCAGCAGAGCTCCGTCACCCAGCAGCTGATCCAGACGCTGCTGAGCAGCCAGCAGAACGCCGTCCTCAACACCTGCAACCACCTGCAGCAGGTAAGCAGCAGCCGGACCCTGACCTCTGCTCACCTGAGCCCGGGTTCTAACTCCGCCCACTCCGCAGACCCCCCTACACCTGGCCGTCATCACGCGGCAGCTGAAGGTGACGGAGATGCTGCTGAGGGCGGGGGCCGACCCCAGCTCGGTAGACAAAGATGGCCGCAGCCCTCTTCACCTGGCGGCGCTGGCCGGAGACACCGCCTCACTGCGCCTTCTGCTGGCTCACCTGGGAGAACGCCACGCCCACCTGGTGAACACGCCGGACTACCACGGTGAGAGGCGGAGCCTAAACTCCACTGGATGTTAGCGGCCGGACTCGCTGAGCTGTGGTGGTCTGTGTCCCTCAGGTCTGCAGCCGCTGCACCTGGCGGTCAGGAGGGACGGCGAGCGCTGCCTCCGCCTGCTGGTGGAGAGCGGAGCCAAGATCAACGCCCCCGAGCAGAAGAGCGGGAACACGGCGCTGCACCTGGCCGTCAGAGAGAACCTGTTCAAGGTGGCGTGCACGCTCATCACAGAGGTAAGCACACAGGAAGGGGCGGGGCCTGATTTCCATCAGGGACCCTCCCTCTAACGCCGTGTGATGTCATCTGCAGCTGAAGGCTGACGTTAACGCCTGCACCTTCGGAGGAAACACGCCGCTGCACCTGGCAGCCAGCCTGGGCTCGCCGACGCTCTGCTCCATGCTGGTGGCTGCAGGTGAGAGGGGGACGCCGGGGGAGGGGGGGACACCGGGGGGGGACACCTGCTACAGAGCAGCAGGTTCTAAGGTTGTTCTGCTCCTCAGGTGCCGATAAGAACATGGAGAACGACGAGCCGCTCTGCTTCAGCTCCTCGGATGAAGAGCAGGACGAACCAATCAGAGAGCGAGGAGAGCGCAGCCAGCCAACCAGCAAGAGGCCTGGGGGAGGACACACCCCTCTGGACCTGGCTACCTGTCAGAAGGTAAACAGCAGAACCAAAGATCTGAGCGTGGGACGTGTCCCCGTGTCTCCGTCTAAACATTGGAGGTGTCCCTGTGTCTCTGTCTCGTGTCCAACCAGGTGAAGAATCTGCTGAATTCCAGACAGAGCCAAGAGGCGTCTCGACACGCTGGCAAGAAGATCCGGACCAGCAGTGAAGGTCGGTACCAGTCTCACCTGTTCAGGTCTTTGTGTCCCTGATCTGTCTAACGTGAAGCTGCTGCAGACGCGGAGCGCTCCGGGCTGGACGAGGACACCCTGTCCCGGTTAGTGGAGGTCCTGAGTGTGGGGGACGTTCCCTGGATGAAGCTGGCCGAGAAGCTGGGAATGATGACGCTGACCCACCTGTACCAGGACAGCCCCACCCCCTGCCAGAACCTGCTGCAGCACTACAAGGTAACCGCCGCTCAGGACACCCGGACCCAGGTCGGGTTCTACAGGTCCAAACACTGACCCGTCTGTCTCTGGTCCAGCTGGGTGGAGGTCCGGTGGAAGGTCTGGTTGATGCTCTGCAGTCTCTGGGTCTGACTGAAGGAGTCCGACTGCTGAGGAACACGGAGCAGCGACACGACAAACTCGGCTCAGGTAATTCTGACCCGACCAGGAAGAGTGAACAGAACCTGCAGCAGACATGAAGCTCCAGGTCCGGGTCTGAAGGTTCTGAAGGCCGGTGAATTCATCCAGGTCACCATCTAGAAACTGAGGAGTTCAGGATATTAAACAAGAACCCGGTCGGTTCAGGTTAAGAACAGACAACAAGTTAGCTAACAACATGATGTAGTTTTTCTCCACTGGCTGGAGGACTACAGATCCCATCATCCCTTCAGATTTAGCCGCTCTGTTCGCTTTAAAGGGACATTTATCTCTATTTATGACACGAAAGGATTCGTTTAGCTTTCGGGGCCAGAGGCCTTACTGTGATGGGAAGGATTTAGAAGTTAGCATAGCAGCACTGAGCTAGTGTTAGCATAGCAGCACTGAGCTAGTGTTAGCATAGCAGCACTGAGCTAACGTTAGCATAGTAGCAATGTGCTAATGTTAGCCTGACACACATTAGAATACCAGATTACAGCTGTGACCAAAAAAATAGCATGCTCACCACAATGAAGCATGACTATAGCATTAGCATGCTCACATTACAGTTCAGAATAAAAGCACTGCATTAGCAACTAACTATTAAAAATAAATAATTATTATCATATATAACTACAAACTAGTATAGAATACATCAAAACAGCAGCATGCTAATGCTAATAAGCCGACTTTAGCTACTTGGTCTATAAATGAAGACCTCTCATTGATAGCAAAAAATAGATAGGAGCATTAGCAGTAGCGAGCTAGCATGCTAACTCGTATAATTAATAAGTTCCAGTTGGTACAAAGCTACGTATAAAAGAAAATTTAGTTAATGAAAACATTATAGAAAAGTTCCAAACAGACTGATTTTGTTTTTGCTAATTACGTTTTTCAAGCTTTATTAAAAACATTAAATATCAAAACTATAAAATAAATTTCAGTACGGAAATAAGAAATGTTTATTACCTGCTAATTTAAAAAAAGTCTCTTTTATCTGACATGAAAGGGTATATAATTATTAATTCTGACTGGATAGCTGTTAGCATTAGCATACAGGAACAAGCCGCTAAAGTATCAAACTTTAGGAAATTCAGAACCAATTGAAGACTGTAGCAGCAGTAGAACCAATCAGGACCTCAGATCTGACCGCACCGCTCCTCTGATTGGACGGGACTGACTTTACGGTCGGATCCATTTTCTATAGAACTGGTTCTGAAAAAGTGAATAAATAACATCAGTCTGATCAAACTACGCAAGAGTAGGAACATAGATCCGTTTATAGAAGCACGATCGGTTCTGATCACCATGATGATGTTGATGATGAAGTTAATCGCTGCAGGTTGATTGTTTCTGAAACAGGAAGTAAAACCATTTTTAAAGCCTCTTTCCTGATGAGCTTTTGTCTAAACATGATCTTGTTTCTGTCCAATCAGACGCCACGGTGGACAGCGGCTTCAGCAGCCAGCCAATGGAGGAGCAGCAGGAGGAGGAGGTGACCAATCAGTGAACGAGGATCGTCCATTAGAGTTTCCTTCAGCCAGTTTTTTCTGCTGCCGGAGAAATATCTGCTGCGAATCGTGGCAAAACGCTGCAAAGAGCTGCGAAATGAGAGACGTGTTTCTAAAACGCTTGGACAATGAAACCCTTCATCATCATCATCATCGTCGTCATGATAAAAGGATGGAATAATTGACCAGAAACGAACTGTTACTGTGTGTCTCTGACTTTAATTTATATTTTCTGTCCTTCGGTTCGTCCGTCTTCAGTCTGACCGACTAAACTGGAATTTCCCGCTTTGTGTCAGGTGCCTAAATGCACCTCGCAGCTGTTGACTCACCTGTGAGCTGCAGAACAACAAACATGTTTGATGTTGTAAAAATGAATAAAGTTTGTCCTAAAACCAGAATCTGTGGGCTGGTTCTGACCCACCAGAACCAAATAAAGAACCGGACCCAGATGTTCGTTTCAAGCTTTATTTTTGCTTCTAAGCTCAACGAACAAAAACAGGTTCTGCTCACGAAACGGACCTTCACAGGACGTGACTTATGTACAGCATGGGTCGGACCGCCGCAAAGCGGACCTTCCAGAACCCGCCCACAGCAGGCGGTCCATGTTCTGGTTCTGGGTGAGAGCAAAGTGCGGCTGTATGGCTTCTGGATCGGCAGGTCCAACTTTATTTACAACATGTGCAGCACAGAGAGTTCTGAGGTCCGACGGCGTCAGGCCCGGTTCCACAGGAGGTCCAGCTTATTTACAGGGAACCAGAACCTGTAGAGTTCTGCAGTGTTCTGATGGAGTGGAGGGGTTCTGGAGGTTTGGACCGGACCAGAACCACAGCAGAGGAAGGTTTCAGAACCACTTCTAGAGCAGCCAAACCGAACAGAAACAATGAAGTTCTGCTGCGATCTGAGCAGAACCCAGTTTGGTTCTGAACAGCTGTAAACACAAACTGGACTCAGCATTAGGAAAAGGAGCAGCGTCTCTAATGCCCCCTGGAGGCGGACCGGCGGAGCTACAGCCGTGGTTCTGGTTCTGTTTAAAGGAGGAAAGTCTCGGAACCAGAGAACTCGGGCCGCCTCAGTCTCCTGAACAAACGAAGGACAGAGTTAGAACCAGACCTGGGGGGGGACAGAATTCAGCTCCACACCGGTCCGGCCTCAGGTCCAAACCGCTGGTTCTGAAGGTTCTGGGTTGCTGTGGGAGAAATGTGACTGAGGCGCTCCGTTCTGTGGTTCCGCTTACGTTCAGAACTGAAGGTTCTGTCCAGAAAAAAAGGTTCGGTGCCAAAACAGAACAAGGAAATAAAACCTTTGATGTTTTTCTGAACCAGAACCGAATCAGAACTTTCATTACAAATATTTGATCATCTTTGCCGCCCTCCAGTGGTAGTGGGGGAGAACTGCAGACACCCATCACGTGACCTAAATGCAACAAACACAAACCTTTACACTAATAAAAAAGGAGTGAAACATCTTCCAGCAGAGAGGATCTATGGGCCACTTTTCTGCTCATTTTACAGAAAATCTATTTTTTTAAAAGAATTCCAGAATAAATTTTAGATAAATCGTTCCAGAGTTCCTCAATCTATCTGTTCTGGTTCTGCTCCTCCTTTTCCTGTGGTTCATGGATCCGAGGCTCCAAAGGTTCTGCAGCAGTTTGACTGATCTGCAGTTTGGTCAAATCTAAAAGTGTTTCATGTTTTTTGCCTGCAACAGGCTTCCGTACTTCCTGTTTGTTTCCAGGAGAACTCAAAGACAAAACAGAAACGAAGTGAAGCAGAGAGTCGGATTCTGATTGTTCGGTTCCATTTGTTTGTGTCTCACATTCTGTCTGCTGCAGGAATCAGTAGAAGACGATGAAAATCTAAATTCCTATGGTGCATTGGTGACCCTGAACGTTCCGCTCTCAGTTTTCCACAACAAAACTTCTTCATACGCTGCCCTGGAACCGCCGACAGGAAATAAAGCTTTTATTGTGAAATCCAGCGGCTGAAAGCGTTTCCTGGACGAGCGTCTGTTTTCCCGCTGACCTTAAACGTCTCGTCTGGAGGGAAAGTGCCTCAGCGTTTCGTCTGACGGCGTTCGAACGTTACGCCGCCTCTTCCTGTTTGCTGCTCTGCTTCTGAAGCTCCGCCTTCTGGCTGTTCCCGCCTGCGCTCTTACCCCCCCCTCCCTCCTTGACGCCGCTCTTCATCACAGATGAAGAGGAGGATGTGACCTTGAGGCTCTTGGAGGTCTTGCCGCTGCGGGCCTTCTCCTTGCTGGCGGCGTCCTGAGGCAGCGTGGGGCTGGAGTGCGCCCTCTGAAGGCCGCCGTCGCTGTACAGCCGCGCCTCGAATGCGGCCAGGTCGTCGTCTCCTTTGGCCATCTTGGCCCGCAGCAGCATGGCGTACGTCCCGTACCGTGTTTTCTGCAGGAGGAGAGAAGCAGGCGGTTAAAGAAGGTTCTGGTCTGATGCGTTCACTGGCAGCACAAAGCGTGGGATTTCTGTGTGTCAGAGGAGGAGCCTGCTGATGAGGACAGGATGCTAACAGACTTTGCAGGAGGAAACAATCGACCTGCCTGGTTTAGTCCAGACTTTGACTAGGCCGCTCCTTCACATTCTGTTGGTTTTTGGGTTCTGCTGCAGAACCCAGCTTGGCTTCAGGTCATGCTGCAATGCTCCTAAAGCAGCCAGGAACCCAGATCATCACACCGCCACCACCGTGTGGACAGGCAGGATGTTCTGGTTCTGATTCTAGAACAGACGGGAACTTTAGCCTGCTGGCAGGTTCTGTTTGAGGTTCTGGAGGTGTTAATACCTAGTATTAATATTTATCGGACCCAAAGAGTCAGAACCCAGAACCAGTGGAACCAGTACTAAAATGTTTTAATGGGAACCATCAGTTCTGGGTTCTGAGCGGGTCAGACGGGTCACAGCTGCTGCATCTCTGACCCTCCAACACCAGAACCACTCAGGACGGGTTCTGACCCAGCTTGATCCGGCTCACCTCAAACTCCAGGTACTCCTTACGCAGCTTCTGCTCCTCCAGTTCGCGACCTTTGACCTTCCTGTCGGGCGTGGCGGCCAGCAGCTCGGTCAGCTCCGAGTGCACCGCCCTGTAGCGGCTCTCGTGGGATTTGAGCTGCTCCTCCTGTTGGACCAGAGAGACGGGTCAGGTTCGGTTCTGACGGACCGGGGCGGCGGATGAAGCTCTGGTCTCGTACCTGAGACAGTTTGGTGTTGGACCCCGGCAGCAGAGGACGGCTGAAGCGTTTCTGGGAGCCGATCGCCGCCGGAAACGGAGGAGCGGAGAACATGGCCGCCACCACGTTGATCCTGGTGATCCAGGACTGCATCTGCTCAGGGTTCCTGGAGGACACAGAGACATGATGTCCACCGTCTGCAGAGCGGGACGTGATGTCCGCCGTCTGCATGGCATAGATCTAGACCTGCTCTGCTGACCAGCAGGGGGCGACAGGAAGACACTTACGGGGCCTGGAACAGGAAGACCCTCCAGTCGGCCGTCCTCAGGTAGAAGACGTTGGGTCTCTTGCTGTAGTCGGCCGCCCTCATGGCCAGAGAGTGATGGACGGACACGGCGTTCTTCACGTCCTCCTCCGTCAGCTCCTGCTCCGTCCGGTACTCGTCCTGTTGGACAAACGGATCCAGAATCAACCAGAAGCACCTGGAACTGGTTCTGTTCATTCCCACCCAGCAGGAAGAGGTTCCACCAAAGAACTCAGATCAACCAGAAATGATGAAAACACGAGGAAGCAGGAGCTCCCCCTGCTGGACCTCTGAGCTCACTGCACCAGAACCTCCTGTTCTGATGGACCCGTTTCACCTCCCCATCCTGTTCTGAGGAGGAGGAGGGAGCGTCATGGTATGGGGATGGGTTTCATGGCACCATCTTGTGTTAACTTTATCCTAACATCTCCATCAGAAATATGTTCAGCTGGAAAACGTTTTGCACTCATTATCTCCATGGCAACAAGGATCAAAATAAAGCGTGATTGATTTGACTGAGCTGCAGCTTTCAGTTTCGCCACTAGATGGAGAACTACACGACAAAAAGATGAATCAGGACCAGCACAGAGACAGCGCCTACAGCTGAGAGGGCTGATGGGAAATGTAGTCCAGCTGTTACCTTCTGCAGGTAGAGAACCAGGCCCTTCAGCATGGCGTAGAAGGTCTTCCAGCTCCTCTTCCCCCTCGGAGCTGAAACAGAAGAAGGTTTTTACTCTTCAGGATTCTTTGAAGGTGAAATGAGGAAGAGGAGGAGCTGTACTTCTCTTTCCGTCCGGATCAGCGTGGACCTTCCGGACCAGGAAGCCGCTCTTATAAAGCTCTCCGTCCGCCTGATGGGCCACGCCCACCAGAGGGTTTCCACCACTCCCGATCCGCTTCATGGTGTGGGAGGCGGAGTCTGTTCGGACGTCTGCCAGCTCAGACATGGACTTCCTCAGCTCCTCTTCATCACTTCAAAACAACAGACCAGCGTTAGTATGGCTGCTCTAGAACCTCATCCATCCATCCATCCATCATCCATTCATCCATCATCCATCATCCATCCATCCATCCATCATCCATCCATCATCCATCCATCCATCATCCATCCTTCATCCATCCATCATTCATCCATCCATCCTCCATCCATCCATCATCCATCCATCCATCATCCATCCATCCATCCATCATTCATCCATCCATCCATCCTCCATCCATCCATCCTCCATCCATCCATCATTCATCCATCCATCCATCCATCCTTCATCCATCCATCATCATCCATCCTCCATCCATCCATTCATCATCCATCCATCCATCATCCATCCATCTTCTCGATGTTTCAGCTCTTTAATGGAGATGATGTCACCACCAGCAAACAGACGACTGTAGAGGACAGAAGCTGAACACAAACATCCAGTAATGGTTGTTGGGATGCTGACCTGTAATTACAGCGAGCTGAGAAGCAGGAAGTTGCCACGGCAACAAAGGCCTAAATAGCAGTGTCAGGGTATAATGAGTACACAGTGGACATGTTTACATGCGTGTTGAACACTCACATGGTCCACTGCAGCTTCTCGTTCTTGATGGAGCTGTACAGAGTCTGCAGAGAAACAGCAGAGACGGCGTCAGAGTCTGCAGAGGAGGCATGGCTGCAGGTTCACACTGAAGGACTAGAACAGCTGAGTCATCCCGTCGGAACATAGAAACAAGTCTTCATCATGTCTGTTTTCACTGCTTATTAAAACTCTTTCCATAAATGTCCCCAGAGCGCCCCCTGCTGAGGGACACATGCTACATTCTAACAGCTTTTCATACCAGAAGGTTCTGATTAGTGATACATTTGACAGATTCTGGATAAAATGGACCTGATGATGTGTTAGAAGAAAATACTGACTAAAGTCAGCCAGAAGGAGGAAGCCAACGGCGAATTTGGACTAGTTCAAAGGAGGAGGGACGTGGCTAATTCCTGCTGAGAGACAGATTCAATAAACCAGCTGAGCTGATGTCTTAGACAACTTTTATTTCATGTAGTGCAGCTTTCATGACATTTCCATCCATAAAGTGCAGCAGTGATCAAATGCAAACAGTGTGGGAGAAAAAACATGGTTCAAAAAAATGCTTTGATATGGAAGTTCAGAGCTTTAATATATTTGGTACAAATATGCTGTATTTTTGAAAAAAATGGAAATCTAGATAAGTAGTTTTTTCTTAAAATAAGTGCATTTGTTCTTGGATTAAGGAAGTAAAAGAGACATTTTGCCAACGGAAAAAGACAATTTCTTGACAATTGGCGCTTTGGGCCCTTTGGACCAGTGAGGTGGTCTACGATCTACGATCCTGGTGTTGCTGTCATCATCCAGCTGTGGTTCTCATCTGTTATAGATGAACAGTATCAAGTTATGTCGGAACCTGGAGGACATCTAAGATATAAAAAGGTTTCAGAAATAAAGGCAGCAAGATGGAGACCACAGCCTTTTAATGGGGAGTCAGACTGAGAAGGTCAGCAAAGGACCCACTGGATGAACAGTTAGGAGGCGATAAAATAAATAAAGACCAAAAATTAAGAAATATCCAAAATTTACGGGAAGAAGAAGCTGAAGTGAAGCAGCGTCAGAGCGACTGAAGGGAAACTGATTTAAAACTGGACCCAAAACCTTCAACTGAATGGAAGCTCGTCATCAACGCAGGTCGGACTTTTTCAGTGTTTGGTTAGAAAAAATGTTTTAAACACAAAGAATTCTGAGTAGAAAAGCATCATTTCCTAATATGTTTTTTTGCAGGATTAAACGGAAACAGGTAAGAAGCAGGGATGGATTTTCTGCCAATGGGTCAATGAAGGGCAGAACCTTAAGCAGCACCTCCTCCACACCGCCACACGGTGTTAATACAGAGAAGCATGGCTGCTGAAGCACGGCGGCGGCGGCCAATTTTAGCCGTTTATTCAGCAACACGGCGGTGAAAACCTGACCAGGGCACAGATGTAGACCAGTTAGGGATCGGTGTTAGCTATTGTCGAACATCCTGACCTGAAATGTTCTCTGAGGTTTAAATATTGGTTCCAGTAGCCGGCGCCGCGCTCTGATGACATCTCCAGCATCTGAGCTGCATTTCCATTTAGACTGGAAGTCAATCTTTCCTCTGCTTCCTTTCTTTCCTTTAGAGTTCAAGAGTTTCCTTTTCACCAGGATCCCATCTAGGACAGGTCGTCACCCTGAGCTAAGGGCGAAGTAGCTCCTCAGGGAGGAACAAGAGAACAAAGACAACAGAGGATGATGGTGGAGGAGGAACCTAACCTAGAGACCTTGGAGAGTCAGAGCATGAACACCCAGCCTGCAGCAGGTCAGCAAAAACTCACCAGATCTCAGTTAAACAGAAGAACTTCCTTAAAACTAAAATCTTAGCTGTCAGCTGGGTTGGTGTTGATGGACGCTGCGTCCATGTCGGGCAGGGCCAACCAAGGACCAACCGAGGGCCAACCAAGGACCAGCCAAGGACCCACCAAGGACCCGCCAAGGACCCGCCAAGGGCCGACCAAGGACCCGCCAAGGGCCGACCAAGGACCCGCCAAGGGCCGACCAAGGACCCGCCAAGGGCCAACCAAGGACCAGCCAAGGACCCGCCAAGGGCCAACCAAGGGCCAACCAAGGACCAGCCAAGGACC